CTGTCTGCAGTAATAACGCATCCTCGCTAATAAAGCAGGATTGCCTCGTCATGCGGTAATTCCTTCTTTTGTTCCTCATAGATTCTTCTCGCTCAAAGTAGCCGAGAAAGGACAATGGGAGTTCAAGGACTTTGGAAACTGCTCGAATGCGCTGGGAGACCTATAAACCCAGAAATGCTTGAAGGAAAAATTCTTGCTGTTGGTATCCTTTAAAAATAAAGCTGAGGAACCAAGTTTGCGAGGAAGGTTAACTGTTTCATTTACTTCTACGTGATCTATTTGGGTTAACTTTTTTTAAACCTAAATGACAACAATATTTTGATAAGTTGATTTTATGCTGTAGAATATATGGAATACTAAGCTCTTTTTTTTATCTTTTAGAAAAAAGACTTTTTAAATTGGTACCCTTACGCAAGTGTTGAGCCGTAGGATTTTGTGCCTTATAAATAAAGGTGTTCTTCTCAGTAGGACTATAAGATGAAAAAGTTTAAATACTTTTGCATCAACTTTCCTATCATATATCATTGGTTAAATGCTGGAAAGATGTGGAAAGAAGTTACCCTCCGTTTATTTTTGAAGATAACTGGGGAGCTGCTACTTACTGCACAGTTCTTTCAACTCTGCTTTTTGCCCAGGGTGAAAGGGGCAAGAATTTATTCTTCTCCAAAGTTCACAGGTATTTGGATAACTGTGGCTTCAGTAAGTCAAGCCTGGAACAGTGTACAAAAGCCACTGGGTCAAATATGTGTACTTTATAGAAACTATTAATATGGTATATGTGTCAGCACATTTTTTTCCTCTTAATGGTTCTTTAAGATATCAGTATTTGGTTGAACCAAGCAATAAAGGGAGCCAGAGATCATGGTGGTAATTCCATACAAAATGCTCACCTTCTCACTCTGTTTCATCGACTCTGCAAGTTACTGTTCTTCCGCATTCGGCCTGTCTTTGTTTTTGATGGAGAGGCACCACTTCTGAAGAGACAAACCTTGGTAAATACCTTTGCTGAGTCATTGCAATGCAAAATAGGATGTAAGTCTGTTGATACTAAGTAGCTGTTTTCAATTTCCTTCTTATTCTGCTTTTAATTCTGAGCCATGAGGATGGAGGGCTTGAAGTGCACAGCTGTGCAGGTGTTCTGTGCAATCCCAGTCTTGGTTAGCTGTTGGAGCATGCAGCATCTCCCTTTTGATATATTGGGGTTTGATTTGCGTAGAAACCAGATTGCAGAGAGGCAGGTGATGGCATAAATCCTGGGTCTTGCTCCAGAACAAATGTGAATGCAACTTTTGCAAGCATTTGTACCCAGAAGCTGAAAACTGTTCCTGAGTCCTGCAGAGGAAACTGACATAGAGAGATTTAGAGGATCTGAAGGCTGTGTCCCCACTTATGCGGGATGAGTTAGGAGTTGCTCATAGACTCAGCACACAGAATTGTAACAGTAATTCACTGGATGCGTATCTTCAGCATCCAGCAAAATCTCATTGGTGTTAATATTTCACAGGCTAAGCGAAGACAAAGAAAGGAAGTTGCCATCAGTGATTCCAGGAAAACTACAGAGAAACTCTTGAAAACATTTTTGAAGAGACAAGTTATCAAAACTGCTCTTACGGGCAAAAGGCAAGAATAAAATTAATTTTCCCCATGTTTATTAGTGGCCAAAAGTTTTTATGTAGCTATTAATCACTGGTTTTGTGGTTGTGTTTTTTTGCTTTCCTTAAGCAATGAAGTTTTGCCCAGTATTACACAAGTTCGAAGAGAAGAAATTGATGATATATATGTATTGCCTTCTTTAGAGAAAGAAGAGAAGAACAGGTAGGTAGAATTAAGAAAAATAGCTTAAATGGCTATAATAAAATCGGATAAATATGTAAAGCACTTTTTTTTGATGCTGCTTTGACCCATGAGACTCCATAATATATAAAGTATATTTCCTTGTTTTATTTCAGTTTCTTTTTGGAAAGTTTGGTTTATAGCTCTGGATACAGAAGCCTTTTAGTTGTTTGTGGGAAAATAACAGAAGAAGCTCTCAGCCCACAGATTAAATTTCTACAATGGATTCATGCTTAGGGATGAAAGTGCCACCTCAGTCTCTGTGGCCATATCTGTATGACTAAATGGAACTGATTGTTCAAGTTTGGGTAGCTGGTGTGTGGCAGATTCCAGTTTGCATCCCCTCACTCAGTAGCATAGATGTGTTCAGCAGTAGTAGGCTTTGTATGTAGTTATCAAACTCATGACACCTTAAATAACACTAAGTGGGACTGTGGAGCTATCGGTTAGATTAATCTTTGCACATCTTACATGTACTTTTATATACTTTAAATGCTGGCCAAATAAGAATCAGGTAATGATTAAAACAGCAACAGTTGTCTCAATCTAGTTTTAACTGACGTAAGTCTGCCTTCTTGCTTTCTGTTCAAATCTTTTGACTTGTGTATGTATTATATGTGTATGTATGTGCCTGTATATATGTGTGTACTTTGAAGTTGTGTGTGAATTTTTGTACTTACCGGTGCAGGGATGACTAATGTCCTTTTGCTTAAAATAAGAACTTTATTTTCCTAGGTAAATATCTACATCTTTTTTTTTCCTCTTTGTGATTTTTAGCTCAGAGGAGGAAGATGAAAAAGAATGGGAAGTGAGAATGAGCCAAAAAAAGATGTTGCAGGTAAGTGCATCCTAATTGCCCTGTTGCTGTGAACAATCCTTTCATCCATGTGGTGTGCTTAAAAGTTAAAAAGGTTAAAAAAAAAAAAAAAAAAGGTGTTTGGACATATAGGTCTTACTATAGCATTACTGATCAAGCAAACAAATTAATTTTCAGTACTCTATAAATTCCTATTAATGAAGAAATACAAATGTAATTTTCTCTACTGGAATACAGCAGAATAGGAATTTCTTACGGTTTGTGGTTTGTGGTTTTTTTTTTTTTCCCTTTTGACTACTTTCTCTGGACATGTGAAGAAGAAATTGTTTTTTGTAGTGATATAAGGGAAATGTATACATTTGTGTACATGTGTATGTACATGTAAGACAGCATATTTATTAAAATTCCCATGCTTCTCCAAATATGTATTGATGTTGAAGCACTTCAGTCCTTGAGTTTTCACAGATAAATTCTGTATTCACTTTTGATGTGCCAGTCTCTTGGAAAAAGGAGAGAACAAATATATAACCTAAGAAGGCAGCATAATGAATAATAAAATTATTTCTGCTTTCATCAAAGTAAAAAAAAAAAAAAGAAAAAAGAAAAAACTTGGAAATACTGTTTATCTTTGAAGTAGTTCACATTCAGGAGAACCTCTTTGGAAGGGTAAAATCAGACAAGCTGGGGCTATAGGACCTGTTTCTGTGATTTATACTAAATACCTTTTTGTAAACAGAATAAAAACAATTTTCTCTGTATAGTGTGCATCAACAATCATGTGCTTTATTTTATTAGGTAGTAGTTCCTTTTTTTTTTTCCCTTAACTGCTTTCACAGAATCATTAAGGTTGGAAAAGACCTTTAAGATCATCAACCCAACACCACCATGTCCACTAAACCATGTCATGAAGTGCCACGTCTACATGTTTTTTGAACACTTCCAGTGATGGTGACTCCGCCACCTCCCTGGGCAGCTTGTGCCAATGTTTGACCTTTGTTTCTTCACAGTACAGGAAGCTGCAACAAAGGTTTTGTGGGGGGTTGTTTGCAAGGATGCTTTAAATATTTTCTTGTTCTTGCTGTGCTGTAATATAAAGTAGATATTTATGTTGTTTTCTGTTTTTATAGGAAGAGTTGTGTGAAAATCCTCATTCTGTAGATATTGAATCAGAAGATTTCAACAAGCTGCCTCCAGAAATAAAACATGAGATCCTGACTGATATGAAAGAATTTACAAAGCGAAAAAGAACATTATTTGAAGCAATGCCAGAGGTAATATTTATATTAGTTTTCAAGCCATAAGAATAGAACTATTGCCATTAATGCAGATGAAGACTACATAAGAGTATCACATCTGGAAAGCTTTACGGCCAGGCCTATTTAATAAGAGATGTTACACTGAGGGGGGAAAAAAAAAAAACAATGAGACTTTTAACAGTCTTCCTGTGTGTCTATTCAGAGTTGTACCTCTTGACTTCCACAAAAATTGGCAGAGCTAATTCAGTTTGGAAAGAATGGAAAAAATCATGCTGTGTCTCCTGCCTCATCAGCATTAGACCCAAGATTTCAATTGCAAGAGCATAATACTGGTGTGGATAAACCGGGCAGAATGAACGCAGCTTGAATTCCAAACCCTCAGGTTGTTAGGGGAGCTGGCAGCTGGGAAGAGGCTTTTGTGGCTTAGGCAGATGTACTGAAGCCATTCTGAGACAAATGGGGAATCATGTAGTGCCACTTCTACAATAGATTTTCAGAGCACAGTTAGATTTTAAAAGTACAACATATGTCAGATCAAATGATAGCTTAAGCCCAAGTGTAAGCTAAGAACCATCATCTTTTAAGATGGTTTTAACCATCCATATGTGGATTCTGTTATTAATTGCATTGTTTTTAAGATGGGGACCAGCTCCGTTAGCCAGATAAGTTTTGTTTGTCACATCATTGAGATCTCGTCGTGTTTCGCCAGCATTCAGAACTTCTTAATGGTACCTTTTAGAATTGTGTGTTACTGGGCTAGTGTTGCTGTCACTTGGGAGTGCAGCAGTCAGTAAAAGACAAATGTTACTTGCTTAAAGGAAACTCCTAAAAGACTTTCCAGAGCGTGGTAAATAAACTTACTTGAAAGGTGCAGCTAGTGGCATTTTATTTAAATTGACTTGGTTGGTTGTTTTGTTGTTTTGTTTTGTTTTGTTTTTTAAGGAGTCCAATGACTTTTCCCAGTACCAGCTTAGGGGTTTGCTTAAGAAAAGCAACCTCAATCGGTGCATAGAAAATGTACAAAAAGAATTGAATCAACAGCACTCGGGTGAAATCCAAACGCAATATGAAAATGAAGGTGGTTTTGTGAAAGAAGTGGAATCTAGGAGGGTAGTCTCTGAAGATACTTCTCACTATATCCTAATAAAGGGTATGTCAGGTCTTAATTTTATAAAACCTCTTGTTTGGTATGTGCAGTCTGCAGCTGTCAGTTTTAAGAAAAAACTGAATATTGTTTACAGGTGCATGTAACCAGTACTTTGTATGAAACGTGCATTACCGTTAGACAGAATTAACTGTGATCTGTAAATGTGTAGAAAACTTGTTTATTAATCTTTATATAATGATGTTCATTATGTAAAATGGAATGTTAGTATAAAGCCATTTTTTACTTAAAAAAATCAAAAAACTTTCTTTCAGGTATTCAAGCAAAAGAAGCTACAAATAGAGACTTGGAAACTACTGCAGGAGCCTCATCAAAAGTGCTTGAATTTACTAAATTGAATAAAACCAATGAATCTCCTGCTAATGCATCTGACAAGTTGCAGATGGAGAAAGATAACAATGTGATGACAGCACCACCCTCTCCTCGGACTTTGCTTGCTATCCAGGCAGCTATGGTAGGAAGCAGCTCAGAAGAAGAAGTGGGGGATGAAGATACAGGACAACTGAACGTGGACCAGTCTGTAACAGAGGAAGGCAGTGTGTCTCCAGGGTCACTACAGGCAATTCAGCAAGCTTTGAGTGATGGTTATAAAAAGGAGGAAGTTGTTGCTGTTAGAACTGATGGAGTGCTACCAGAAAGATCAGAAGTCAAGGATTTTCTGCTTAGTAGCTCAGATGAGGAAGATCAGATTCCTGAAGTTAAGGAGGGAAAAAAACCCCCTACATCTACAATTCATTCGTCAAACCAAGTGATTACGCAAGACACTGAATTTGAACAAGAGAGTCAGGAGTTCAAAAAAAATCCTATTATGCTTCCGGATGCCAGTATATCCAGAGCTGAAAATTATTCTTGTGTTGGTAATACTACAAAAGGCAAAAAAGATGTAGACAAAGAAGAAAATGGTTCCAAAACAGATGTAAATTATTTGGGAGATAAGGATATAAACTTGTGCATGCAGAAGCCCAGCTATTCCCCTGTACAAATTAGTGTAGGGGCTTTGGTTCATGCTGAAACAACAGACCTTTCTAAACATGAGGAAAACGTGAAAATTTCTGAAAATACAGAGGAGACACATTCTCTTCTGTTTGTGAAATTGTCTGAGGTACAAAAGGATATTATCCTTTTTCCAGAAGCAAAACGTCCTGAGGAGGAAAGAGGAGGGTTATCACAATCTGAAGACAGTGATTCTGATGGTATGTGCTTTTCAGTTGTGTAAAAAGATAAGAAAATAGGACCGTATTGTATTTGTAGTCAGTTGAAGTTAACTTCTCCTCCTACTAAGAAATAAAATATGCTTTAAAATACATCTATTCCTATGTATGTAGGAGGTGGGAAGGAAATCTGTTCTATGTTTTTCCCCTTGGTGTTATGTTTTATCATTGAAACCTGAGTATACAATACAGAGAACCAGGAAAGCATGCTGTTGTATACATTGAACTTAACTGGTGTATTGATGGTCAACCACTTGGTTTCTGTAATTTCACAATCCTTATACCTACTTACTGCATATAGGAAAAAAAAAATCACTGCCCAAGTTAGAAATGCATACAAATACTTCTTTTTAAACAAGCAGCAGGAAATTGAAATCTTTATTTTCCTTTAATAGGAAGCTTTATTGAAGTGGATACTGAAATCAGTAATGAGTCTGAGTTTCCTACTAAATATGATGAAAAACTGGGTGATGAAACAGCACTTCCAGAAGTGGAGATGGACAGACATGATACCGTCACACACGACTTGCTGAAGGAGTCTGATGAAGTGCAGCTGGCAAATGATCAGAATGTTGAAAGAGAAGATGATGGTAAAGATGCAGCGGATGAGTGGCAAGACATCAGTTTGGTAACTCCTTGTTCTTTGTTCTGAGCTAGTAATGAGGTGCTGTGTCCGCAAGCAGTTTTTAAGGAAAACTGTTTGACAACTTCTTACTGTTTCGTTGCTCTCTCATATATGTATTTAATTCTATGGGAACTTACTTTTCTTTAAAGATGATGGTTAACCGTAATCTCTCTGAAATCAGAGGGAGACGTCAAGGTTTTAGTGCTTTGATAAATAGACCTACCTCTGGTCTTACAATTTACTGCATTAGAGAAGCTATGACAACCTCAAAGTGTGGATTAATGGAACGAACATATACTACTAGAATAATTATAGTCGGAGACTTACTGCTTTACTTAAGTGTGCCTGAATTGTTGAAATTATTAAAATCTTGGTTTATTTTTCAGGAAGAACTAGAAGACTTAGAAAATGATCTTTCTGCTGAGCAGAATATGCTTCAGGCTCAAAAACAGCAGCAGGAACGTGTTGCTGCTTCTGTAACAGGACAGATGTTCTTGGAAAGCCAGGTAGTATTTGTTGAGTCATTTTGATTGGATATAGGATGATGTGGTCTCTCCCTCCACCTCAGTCAAACATTTTCTCAAAAGCTGTTTGTAATTTTGCTTAACTATGGGTAGGGGATATTTAATTGAGGTTAAATAATATATTCCATAAAGGCAAATTGTGTAAAATGTGTCAAAATACATGTATATCAGAACACCATCCAAAGGGTGGCTAGTCTGCCCACTGTTTCCTACTTGATATGAGTGTTTCTCATGTGCTTTCATACTATTTTCTGAGCTAAGGTGATGACTGATTTTTTTTGTTTTGTGTTTTTTTTTTTTTAACCCGCCACTTTATTTCACAGAGCCCACATAATTGCAATGCATGGACTTTGCGTTAAAGTAGTGGTTATGGAAAGCACACTACTTAAGTATGCTTGTGTAATTAAGATAGCAGATTCTCAGACTGTGTAGTAATAACGTGATCAAGTAGTACCTGACTTATGTGGCACTATCTGCCTAAGTGGGATTTCCCCCTTGACTTAACTATGCTTGGTGCTTTTTAGCGGAAATTAAGATTTGCTATTAAATACCTCCCAAGTGTGAATCTAGCAGTTCCGAGTCAAGCAGAAGTTCATTTTTCAGATGAAACATGAAGTGTATTTCTCTCCTTCCTACAGGAGCTTCTCCGTCTGTTTGGCATTCCATATATTGAAGCTCCGATGGAGGCAGAGGCACAGTGTGCTATATTGGACCTTACTGATCAGACCTCTGGGACAATCACTGATGATAGTGATGTTTGGTTATTTGGTGCACGACATGTTTATAAAAATTTCTTCAGTCAAAACAAATATGTGGAATATTATCAGTACGTTGATTTTCAAAACCAGCTAGGTAAGCCTCAGGTATTTGTTTGTTAAATACAGTCTTTAATAAGGCAGTGCTGCCATGTATCTTCCTGAAGTTGTATTTGCTACAGAATTTTGTGTGTCTGTTATTACAATGCCTGTTATTTGGAGAGGCTCTAAAGACATTCACTTGGGTTGCTGTTTTTATTACCCCTCTGAATTTGCAGCTATGAGTTACGCTTGCATTTAATACACTGAGTTAATGTGATGATCATCAAAGCTGAGGTATGAACTACCGTACCAGTTTCTGGGTAAATGTCTGCATGACTTTTCTGACATAAAATTATGGGAAAAATATATTCTGATGTCATCAGACTTACAGTCATCCGGAAGTGGAGTTAATTTTGGACATATTAGCACATAGTGTATTAGAAGAGAATCCAGCATTTGTATATACTTTGTAGAATGTTGTTGGGTTTTTTTTTTTGTAGTTAATACTGTTGTGGTTTAGTCCCAGCTAGCAATTAAGCACCACGCAGCCACTCGCTCACTCCCTGCCCTTCCCCAGAGGCATAGGGGAGAAAATCGTGAAAAACCATTGAGATAAAAACAGTTTAATAGGACAGCAAGAGAGGAGGAAACAACAATGATAACAATAATAATAATAATACTGACAAAGGAATGTGCCAGAACAAGTTATGCCCAATACAGCAATTGCTCACCACCAGATCGATAGCCCATCCCCAAGCAGTGATTCCTGCCCCCCGGCCAACCCCAATTTATGTACTGGGCATGACATTACGTGGTAGGGAATATCTCTTTGGCCAGTCGGGGTCAGCTGTCCTGGCTGTGCCCCCTCCCAGCTCCTTGTGCACCTCCTCACTGGCAGAGCATGGCAATGTGAAGAGTCCTTGACTAGTAGTAGCACTACAACTACTTAGCTGCAACTAAAACTTCAGTAGGTTATCAACATTATTCTCATACCAACTCCAAAGCACAGCACTATACCAGTTATTGGGAAGAAAAACCAATTCTGTCCCAGCCGAAACCAGGACACATAGTGACAGATTCTTTTCTTCTTTCAGATTGCTCTTGTACCAGTCTAATCAAATTGTTGCTAATTATGTTGAACTATTAATCTTCAGTGTCACGTAGTATATTAAGGGAAATCTGAGCCAATTTCAACTTTTTCTCATGCCTTGTTTAAGCAGAACTCTGTTAAAAGTTGAGAGAGGCTATAGACTTTGAAATAATATTTTAATGTCTTCAGCATGTAAAATTTCACAAAATTTTTGTGGTGAAAAATGTCTTTAGTTTCTTCTCCCTGCGAATTGAAAGAATTTTTTTTTTCTACTTATACCTATTTACGTATGCTACTGTAGCTTAATTGGAAAGGATTGCTGTAAAAGCATATGTGTGTTTTTTTAGTTGTTGTTAATGTAATAAACCAGAACTTCTATTTATTTGTGAAAAATAGTCACTGTTGGTCTTCATGTCACATTCCTCTGCAGTCCTGTACTTCTACTCCTTTTCCATGCATTGCACAACTCTTCTTTCTTGGCAGTTGATGGATATCCTGGCTGGCATGCTGATGGTCTTGCTTTGTGTGCTTAGACACACATTCCTCCTTTTCTCCACTGATTTTTAAAAAAAATTTTTTTATTACTACTTTTAAAATCTAAACTCCTGAGGCTAGTCACTGAAAGTCAGTCTGGTTGCCTCAGATATTACAGCATACCAAGTAGAAGTGGCTACCTGAGTTCCTTTTTCCTAGTTGTTTCATGGGCTCTTTTGGTCTACTTAGTAACTGCACTAGCACAGAGCAAATGGTTTCCAGTTTGGGAACACTTTTAAGAAGGAGAGGCATTGATCTGATGGACTAGCATTCAAAACTGCGGATCTGAATATTTTTATTTCTGATTTGTGAGCTATTCAGGTCAGCATTAGATGAGAAAAGGAGAGTAACTGGAGAAATAAATGTAAAATAATATCTCTTAGCTTTTAGAAATCCAGAATTTTCTAATGGTCTTTACATTGTAACATTTTTAATTTTGGCAAGATGTATTTGCCAAGTGAGCACAACTACTGGTGCTTGAGCTAGCAGTAGCATATTGACATTGCTCCAGAATATAACTTAGCAAATTCTGATGTTGAATTAAATGCAATTTAATTTAAAGGCAATTAACACAATGCCTTTGTGTTCCTTTTGTTTTTTTGCCTTTCAGATAATACATTATTTTTTAATTTGTAAGAGAACAGATGCTGAATCCACTGATTTTATTTGGTTTGCACACTTTCTTTTACAGGGTTGGATCGAAGCAAGTTAATTAATTTGGCATACTTGCTTGGAAGTGACTACACTGAGGGCATCCCAAATGTTGGCTTTGTAACAGCGATGGAGATTTTAAATGAATTTCCTGGGCATGGATTGGAACCTCTCTTAAAATTTGCGTATGATTTATCATATTTTGCTTTTTTGTCTCTCCATAATGTATTAGTGAATATACTTTTCTGCTGCTTAAGCATACACCAAAACATATGACCATCATTAAGGAGACTAAGTTAACTGTAAAATATGTGACTTTGTTATATCACTATTTGAAGTGGCAAGTAAATAAGGTGACATGTTGATACAGCAATTACAGTGAGACTAACGAAGACAATAAAACAGCTGTAGAACTGTGCAACTGCCTCTGAGTTCATTGCAGAGCTGGATCCGTAGTGGAGTGGAGGTTGTTTCTCCCTGAGTTTGTGAGAAGGTGCTGTAGCTTGTTCGTAGAGAAAAAGAGACTTGAGTGAGGAATGGATGACCTGGAGAGAGACAGACAGGTAGGCTGTGGGGAAGAACAAGACTTGAGCTGCAAGAGGGCAGATTTAGACTAGATACAGGGAAGAAATTTTTCCCAATGAGGGTGGTAAAACACTGGCACAGGTTGCCCAGAGAGGTGGTAGATGCCCCATCCCTGGCAACGTTCAGGGTCAGGTTGGACAGGACTCTGAGCAAGTTGCTCTAGTTGAAGGTGTCCTTGCTCGTAGCAGGAAGGTTGGACTAAGTGACCTTTAAAAGTCCCTTCCAACCCAAAACTTTCTATGATTCTATGATTTGAAGAGAAGAGGGCCAAGCCAGTTACATTCGCAATGGCAAGGATGCTTAGAAATTTTGTTTTGTTATTTTAATAAAAAACCCTCTGAAAGTGATCATTAGGTGTGGAACATCCTTCCCAAGTGAGGCTGAATTTAAGGCCTTCTGAATTTAGAGGCTTCTGGCAGCTTATGGGGAATCTAGGTGATGTTTGCTACTGTGGCTGCGTTTACTGTATATATTTTGTCTTTTCTACTTTCAGATTATATGTCCCTTTGGCCATTTTTATTTGGAAATTTCCTACCTCATTTCATGTAGTTACCGAAGTAGGGAATCTAATTAAGGCTATTGAAATTAGCATGGTGGCTCTTGATATTCCAAATTATATTTTATGGAGGCAAATGAATACTTTCCTCTGTTTTTCAGTGAGTGGTGGAATGAGGCTCAGAAGAACAAGAAAGTGAGACCTAATCCACATGATACCAAAGTCAAGAAGAAGCTGCGGGAGCTGCAGCTTTCTTCAGGTTTCCCAAATCCAGCAGTGGCAGAAGCATACCTGAAGCCTGTGGTGGATGAGACGAGGGGTTCGTTCACCTGGGGGAAGCCTGATGTAGAGCAGATCAGAGAATATCCTTTTACTGTATGGCAGGACTTGTTAGATAAAGTGCTCAGATAAAAGTTCATAAGGCTTGGTTGGTAATGGAGTGTCAAATTCTTAACATCTTGTTGGTGTGCGGTGCCTCCGGCCCTGACTGCTTGTGCTCTCCTGCAATGATACCAGCTCCATAATGGAAGGGAATGCGGCTACATGTGTGTGGCACTAGGGCTTTTCTGCCCTCTGAGAGAGCAGGCTGCTTCACTTTGGGTGCAAGGGGAGCCTCGTAGCTGGACTGACTGGTTCGTTGTGGTGTTATGTTTCTGTCATTGTGCTGTACCTCTTTCTAGACAGAGCGGGACTGCACGCTCCTGATGTGTGCTTGCTGTCTTTCACAAGTATGTTTCAAAACATAGTCAGAAATGGTGGTTCGGTCTGCGCTTTACCCTTAGTTATTTGCTGCATTTCTTGCAATAGTGCCTGTTGCTTCCATCTGTTGCAGCTTGAGCTGCAGTGAATTGTTGAAAAGTTGATAGCAATGCATGCGGAGCTAATAGTGTGTTAAACAGTAAATAAAACTACCAGTGTGCACAAGTGTAAAAATAAGGTATTTTTTTCTTATGGTGGTACTGTGTAACCAAAGTGATCTCTGTCTTCACTGAGACACGCTTTTGCAAATGATATTAGAGAAGAGGTTCTGTTACTGATAGGGTTGTAACAGTGTGAGTAAGATACATAGTGTAATACTGGAACCATCCACATAAGTCAGCTGTAGTAACTTAGAGTAGTTTCTCTGGTTTTGTAGTAGAAAAAACCTCAAAGTAGAGTCACTTTCCACCAGGCATTGTTTATTTGAGCAATTTTCAGTTTATGTGTTTACAAAATACTAGTAATAGCCATTTGTAAATGTCCTTAACATTCTGCACATTCTGTCAAGATCACTTTGGCTGGACTAGGACAAAGATAGATGGGATCCTTTTACCTGTGATAAAACAGCTGAACTTGCAGCAGGTGAAGTATGAAACTGTAGTTTAAGGGTAACTGGAAAACTGTGAGAGAAGCATTTTAAAATGTACAGCAAGGCTTTGACCTAAAGTATATTTCTCAGAAACTGGGATTTGTCCATATTTTTTTTTTAATCTTACTATATATATTTTTTTAAGAGTCATTAAACTTCTCTAGACTTCATTTCGGTATGATTTGGGTGTGCTGTGAGGCACTCTACGTAATTTCAATTGTTGGTTTCAAATTTTGTTATCTGTCAAGCACTTATCTCAAGTCCAGATTGTTGTTTTGGATGTATCTGAAACTACAGGTACCTCAAGTCCTTTTAGTACTTTTAAAAGATGGTGTGCTGTCTCTAAAAATGATTTATGAAAATGCTCTGAAAATTTTGGTGAAGTGAGACTGACCATTTGGTACCATCCGTATCCTTTGAGGAGAAGTGCAGCCTGAACCATTGAGCAAGTGCCCATTAGTAATACTACTCTAATTTCTGAAGAAATGTGCTGTCAACTTTAATAAAACTTAAAGTGAGTAGTGGTGCGTGCTGTGATACCTTCAAAGTCAGTTGTAAAACTGATCACCTAAGGTCAGGTTCTTTTCTCCTTTTGCATTAAGCAAGGTAGATATATATTCTAAATCAGTCTTCTAGGTTCTCTCTGTCATTCAAAGGAGTGAAAGGTACCAAAACTTGTAGTTAGGTCCATAAACTTTCAGGTTGACTGGAACATCCTTTCGAAGCATCTGTCTCTCTAGACAATTGCAGAGAGAATATGGAGGACTAGCTTAGTCTATACAGCAAGCCTAGCTGTGGTTGAATAACACAGACGCATTGTGTGTTACTGCTACTTCTACTATTAAGTCTTCACGCTGTATCAGCATGTGTTACAATGAACTTGTGTCAGATGACCGCATTTTGTTGCACTAGCATATGCAAATGTAAGGTGCACTTAGAACATTTGCTTAGTAAACATTCTGTTGTTTTAACAGCTTGAAGCTAAGGATGTGTTTGTGAGGACATACTTAAGAGCAGCACAGAGGTTTTCTGTATTAGGGTTGAAAATAGCAACATATGTCTGATCAGCAGCACAATGTTTATAAAATTTCACTGGAGTTTATTATTTACTTTCTGTAAAGGTTCTTGTTGCATAGTTTATAATAAAGTATAGGTGTTACCGTAGTAATGCATCTTATTGCTCACATTTATTTGGATGCATACTAATTTCATTAGGCCTTTGTCCTGCTTTAATTTGGAATGTTTTCTAGTATAGCTGAGGTAACAACTGGATTCCCATCACAAAAACATCCAAGGGTGTTTCTCTGTTTTATTTTTGATAGACTCAGCTTCGAATTGATTCATTCTTCAGACTAGCACAGCATGAAAAACAAGCTATTAAAAGTCAGAGACTACGCAGAGCTGTGACTTGTCTGAAGAGAAAGGAAAAAGAAGCAGCTGATGAAATTCGGGAGGCCACTGCTGTTACAGAGATTGAACTTAAACAGCATGAGGAAAGGAAAGGGAAGAGTACTGCAGGCTGTGCAAATCATCAAGCTGTGGCAACAGAAGTCCAAAGTGGAAAGAGAAGAAAACATTCAGATTCCAGAAAAGAACATTTATATGGAGGTGGTTTTATTGGGAATTTGCATCTTTCAGAAACTTCTAGTGACTCCTCAGTAGACGAATTGGACAGCAGAGATTTAGGCAAGAGAAAAAGGAGGAAAAATGTCTCTGCAATGGAGGCAGCGGACCATGAAGAGAAAAAGGAGTGCAGTAGCTCAAGTGGTGAAGATGAACAACTGGGAAACGTAGTCATGGTGACTGCCAAACCTGTGTTTGAGGGCAGAAAAAAGAAATCACAGAGTAAGGGGGGAAGAAAAAAGAAGAAGTCTTAAAGAAAAAGTGTCTTTAAAAAGAAAGACTGTGTGCTCATGGTTTTTATGACTTAAGCTTTGTAAATATTCTACAGAATTTTTTGATAAATAATAAATTATCCCTGTTTGTCATGTATTTGTCATGCATTTCATGTCCAGAAGTTAAATAGGAGGGATTATAAATGATGAAAAAAATTACTTTAGCACATTTACTTATAAAGACCTAGATTGGACTTGATAGAAGTTTTCTGGTTTGAGATTTTTAAACTTGAGCCAAAACGTGATGCCCATTAATTTGCATTTTGAGGTGAGATAGCTGTTAAAATACCACGGGCAATCTGTTGCTTCCTTAACTTCAGCCTTAAATTTTGAAAGCCACTTGAATTATTTCTGGGTGCTGAAAGAAGGCAAATCAGTGCAGTTAGTGTTGTTTTCCTTACTCCCTTCACTATGCCTCTCAAAAGTTTTGTGATGTAGTGATGTTGCTTATTGAGCCTTTCATGAGACAACGTAAGCCCCTGTAAATCTCAGAAAATCATACAGTACAGTAGTTCTTGTACAATCTGAGGTGCCTTAATTTTTTATGTTCTGAATGTAAATGTCGTGTTTCTGAACTTGGAGTTATGTGACCATGTCCAAAAGTGATGTTCAGAGTGTATACACCCCTGCCCCTTGGTGAATTGTCTGCTGGGCTTGCAAGACCCCGTTGCCTCTGAAGAACGACATTTAGCTCTTTGGTTCCTTTCTGGTAACCGTGAGCGGTTACTAACTCTGTGCCACTATCTTATTTCTGCAAAAAATACTCCCAAGTTGGTTACGTTGTTGGTTGGAGCTCCCTTGACTGGGTGCCTACTGCCCTTACGAAACATGCTCCCTTACGTAAGGGGCGCGGTGCCCGCCTTGTGTCCGGGCCGCAGCTGTCGGGATTTAGTATCGCCTCTGCCGCGGGGATGTCGGCGAGGCGCGGGGCACGCTTCTGCCGGGGACTGCCTGCAGGGAAACGGCCCGGCGGAGGGGGGCTTCTCTGTCGGAGAACCTTCTTCGGAAAGCTGCAGGAGGTTCAGGTAACCTTGGCTGACACGCAGTGGGTGCCCCTGGGATTGCACTCGCCCGTGGCTTTAAGTCACTCTGTATCGTGTACTTTAAACGGCGTCACTCGGCAGCTGGGGGGTTTTGCACCCGTGGGTCGCTTGCAGCGCTCCTGAATTCGCATGTTAAAGTCAGACAGGTTGTCGTGTGGTTCATACCTCAAAGGATATTTTTAGGAGGGGGGGAAAAAAATGTAGAGGACCACAAAATGCAAAGGTTTTCCCTTTTAGGGTGATTTTATAGTGCAAGGTTGCTTGTCCTTCAGAATGCGAAGGGACTGTTTATTAACCTGTTATTTTAATCTTCTAATGGGAAGAAAATGTGTCTTTTTTATACTTCTGAGGTAGATGACAAGCTGGTGCATGTCTGACTGCTTAATGTCCCAGTTGTTTAGAATGCTCCTTGTTACTCTGAAGGTGCATGCAAGGACTTTGAATCCCATTGAATCTCTCTTCTGTTCCCCATGTAAAGAGGTTTCTGTTGCGAAGTTCATAGACGGACGTAAATGCAACAGCAGTATTTTTGTTCTACGAGTTACAGCGACGTGTAGAAGCCCCCTAAGTTATTTTTCACCTTCAAATAGGTTAATGGCTGCTGGTGCTGTGCTAGTAAACATCAAGCCTGTATGCCTTTTGTAGGGTGAAGTCAGGAGCATATGATGTGCCCAGGCTGTTCTGTTCTGTCCTGTCCTCGTGCCTGAAGCCTTGAGAGGAAAACCTGCGAAGGCTTTGCACTGTGAGGAAGTTTTCTCAATATCTGTTGTATGTTTTTACTTGGGTTTCTTTCTTCTTTTTTCTTTTTTCTTTTTTTTTTTTTTTAACTAGCTAGAGATACTCCTTCACCTGTTGCCTTATTTAATTGCATCCCTGTTGGGTGTTTAGACGTCTGTAGATTATTAACTGTATGCTGCCCGTAACCATTCCTGCAAAAATCAGTCAAATTTCCGTATAACAGTGCTAGAGCTTTAAAAATTGTCAGAGCACTGGTTGTTTTTTGTTTTGTTTTGTTTTTTTTTCCTGTAAATTCAATTTTTTTCTGTTTGTGAAATATCAAGAATTGGAGAATGCTTTTCTGCAGACAGCTGAAAACTGTTTTGTCCTCTGTCATACTTTTCCTATTACTTTTTTCTCCTGAGTCTGCATGTTCTGTGTCTGTTTATATATGCGCATACACTTTCTGTTCTGCATGTTGCCTGTAGCTCCTGCTTCCTACTTATTCTCATGTGCAACTTTTACAAATAGGTGGTTTCCTTTCCTTCCAAGCCAATTAATTCAAATAAGATTAGAACTTATTTTGCAATAAGGTGCTTTTTTTCTTCTTTTTCAGACATTTGTTGCTACCTTTCCTTTTGATCGTTTATAAGCCTACCAACCCTGATTTGAATTTATTCTAATTTTAAAATTTAAAAAAATAGTTTTAAATGTTTATCAAAGCTCTTTTTTTTTTTTTTAATCTACTTGCTTTTTCCCCCCCTCTTTGAGAGTGGTACAGTTGAACTAGTTTGCTGCTTCTCGTTCTTTTATGCTTTGAATACTGTGTCTACATGTCTATAAACAGAATTAAATTAGAGCATAATACATGTAAAAATAATTTTAATTTTTTTGTGAAGTGTTATGTGGGGAAAAAAGGAATAAAGTAATTTTATTCCAGCATGCTTGTATTTCTCTGTCCCAGGTTTCGTGTCATAGTATGGATTTGACATCATCACAACATAATCATCTACAAAATGAACAGATAAGAGAATTGCAAAAACAAGAAGGTAAAACATTTCTTATTTCGCTATATTTTCTTGTTGCATTTAGGATTATCCTTAAGTGTAAGGAACAAGGTGTCCTGCAGACAGTGAGCTGTCTTCTCATTAATTTTTTCTGAGGAATTGTGTTTATGGCGCTTGCACAACAGATAGCGCTGTTGCAGCATTCTGTCTGTGCAGTCAGTATCTGCTATGCCGGCACGCTCTGATCCCAGCGGTTTCCTACCAGTGCCTGGCATCTTGCCTGCAGCTGGTTCCAGGGAATGAAGCTGTGACTACGATCAAGCTCTTCAGGAGAGGTTTGTTTGCGGTGTGTCAGTTAAGGAGAACTGGTTATTATAAGCTTGGTTTTTGTCTAGACAGTCTCAAGCCTAATCTTCAAATACCTTCAGGGGCTTTTGGGAGCTTTTTCTCTTAACCAAGTTCATGGCTGCACATCTTTCAAGATTCAAAGCATCACAAGTAGTCTCCTTTTTAGGGGTCCCCAGGAGTATAAAAGGTTTTAGGGCAAGACCAGGTGTTGTTTTGGGATGGAGTCTAGTTATGGTCTACAGCTGAATGTGAAAGAAGGAGGTTTGGTGGTTTTTAAAAATTATTTTATTTTTCATAATATTTTTTTTTAAAATCTCAGCTGAGTCTTGGTCCATGTAGAGCTGGGCTTTTGGGCTTCTGCTTTTTCCAGAGAGCTCAGCGTCTGGTTTTGCTTTGCTACCTGTTCAGCAGGGCAAGGTGGAGCTTTGGGCATGACTGCAATACTTAAAAGTAATTATTTGCTTACTGAAACTAATGTTTGGTTTTTTGCTTTCAAATACCTTTTTTTTTTTTTTTTAAAAGTGCCCCAAATTGATGACCTTCTCTGGAAAGCTGTCACTGCACGAGAGGGTAGTTGATAGGAATTGGTATAGACTGCTATTCCACAAAGCACTGTTCAAATTCCTTAATCTGGAGCTCTTCTTTAATGCAGTTCCCTTTCCTGTTGTGTAATTCTAACTTGAACAAAGAGCTCAAGTTGATCCTATGCGATGAAGCATGATTGTTGGGGGAAGAAATATCTTGAAGTATAAATATTAAAGATAGAACTACTAAAGACTGAAATATTGATGACTGTCATTATGTATTCTGTAGTACACAAGGGCTGAGGTAAAGTTGCACAGGCATTCCTATGCTTCTGCAAGCTTGGCTCTCTAATATTGACGCTTTCTTCATGCAGGATTCTAGGCCAGGAGGAGTGAGTCTGCAAGTAATTTTTTTAGTTTTTGAATTATGAAAATAAATTGAGTTCTGGGACATTTGGTCAATGTATGCAAAATTAGTCAGTAGGGCAGAATCTTTAGATCAAATGGAGAAATACATTCCACTTAGCTAACAGAGTAACTGTTGATAGCAATAGCAGGTGGTTCTCTTCCATGTCTAGAAACACTAGTTTAAGAGGATGAGGAGACATGAATGGAAAACAGGATATTTTTACAGTTTCATCTGACACCAGGCTTTGGCATATTAAATTCCATGCTAGGTTCTGGACGTGAAGGGTGCTGAACCCGCTGCCGAGACTTAACCTGCTCAATCACCCTGAGCCTGTGCCTGCCTTGTTCTCATCCTTTTCCTCTGCGGTCTTCCCCATTCCCATCTCATTAACTTCACCTACCCAGTCTCAATCTCTGTTTCTCGGGGTTCTTATTCTAGTTCAGTTTATCTGCAAGTTCCAGTCTGAGCTCTCTATATTCAGTGCCTTCCCCTTTCCTTCTCGACTGGCTTGTCACAAGTTCTCCAGGTTAAAACTCCTTATTCTTGTTCATGGTTCCCATTACTACTGGTTCTCAGCTTACAGACAGGTCCTCACACAGTCTGATCTTTCCTCTGGTGTCTTTATCCAATCAGTTCTTCATCACACCTGTGTCATTAGATGTCTCTTTCCTTTCTTCTCATGGTTTCTCTTGATCTTTAGCTTTAACTCTCCTTGGCTAACCTTCTGAGATCAGATTCTACCACTCCCCTCTTAGTTTCTCGGGGTACTAAATTGCTTTACCACAGCCACATTATTTAAATTCACTCCAGAATAATTTTATCTCTGAAACAACAGGAGGAGAGCAAATTTCCAAGGCGTACTTGTCCTTGACACTCCATCATCTCACTTCACTTGGCCAGGGCTCAGTTTTTAATCCATAAATATCTGAGAAAATGCTGACCTGGTAACCTTCACATATCTCCGGGCATTTTAGAAAGGACACGCTTCTTCTACTCGCCGAGCTTGACAGATGTCCTAATTGATGGCAATTCCTACCATCACTTCAAGTCTCTGGGTGGAGTCCAGAAAGGTGCCTTAAACGGGACATAGCTGGAATGGAGGCAAGTAAGCAGTAGCCTAAGCCTGCAACTTAGAAGTTAAGATATTCAGCTGGGAAGAGGGAGTGACTTTGTGTCTCATTCCTATTTCCTGGGTTACTTCTAAAGACATTTCTTACCTTTCTCACTCCATTCCTGACTGTTGTGGTTTAACCACAGCCTGCAACCAAGCACCACGCAGCCACTTGCTTGCTCCCTCGCCCCAGTGGGATGGGGGAGAGAATCAGAAGAGTAAAAGTGAGAAAACTCATGGGTTGACATAAAGGCAGTTTAACAGGGAAAGCAAAAGCCGCGCACACAAGCAAAGCAAACCAAGGAATTCATTCACCACTCCCCGTGGGCAGGCAGGGGTTCAGCCATCTCCAGGGAAGCAGGGCTGCATCACGCGTAACAGTTACTTGGGAAGGCAGACGCCATCACTCTGAACATCCTCCCCTTCCTCCTTCTTCCCCCAGCTTTGATCATGGTGCCGCATGGTATGGACAGTCTCTTTGGCCAGTTCAGGTCAGCTGTCCCGGCCGTGCCCCCTCCCAGCTCCTTGTGCACCTCCCTGCTGGCACAGCATGGGGAGCTGAAAAGTCCTTGACTCAGTATAAGCACTACAACTGCTTAGCAACAACTAAAAACATCGGTGTGTTATCAACATTATTCTCATACTCAATCAGCCCAATTCATAGCTGGGCTTTTCCTTGCTGCTTGTCCTTCTAACATGATTCTTGCAATCCTGGTTTCCTGACAGCCCACTTCTGGTGGTGATGGAGGGGAGGGAAAGTACCTGATTGTGTAAGGTGGCTGAAACACAACCCTTCGGTGGGTGAGTTGTGAATTTGAATCCTTCTGAGGAAGGTCTGGCACCCAGTTCCTCCGTTTTCTAAGTGTTTAAATTGCTGAACCATTCTTTATACAGTGGACTTTGCAATTAACAGTGCTGGTTAAAAAATTAGCCTATTTATACTATGTATAAATGACACTTTTGCTGTATCTTCCCACCACCTGCCTTCCCTTCTTTCCTCTTCCTCTTTTTTGTCTCTTAGGTTTGAATTATGCTTCTATCTTTAAAAAATAAAGATGTCAACCAAACAACTTCTTCCATTAATTCTCATCTCAAAAGCATTAAAACCCCCCAAAACTCATGGAAGTCACACCATTAGTTACCTAGATCTTTTTTCTTCACTGCAGGTTTGACCTGACATATCAGAACTCAAATTCCCTCAGGCAACAAGCTGTCTCCAAACAAAAAAGACTAAAAGAGGTAGTGGGGAATAAGACTTGAGTATAACCCAATTAAGGAGTGATTAGAGCTAAACTACACCTTCACAGCAAATCAGAATAGTCTAAAAATACCTGTTCTCTGAATTTACCTCTTGGCTATCTTACAGTAACTTATCTCTGAGCAATTTTATTTGAAAGTGGCAGCATTCAAATGCTGGAGTAAACATCAGGTGTACTAATTTGAATTAGCACTTCTCTGTTCCTTTTCTCTCTCCCCAACAAGTAGACCTGCTTTTGCTGAAGACATTACTAAACTCAAATGGAAGCTTCTTGTGTATGGATAGAACAGAAGTTGGAGGCAACGCTTAAATAATTAAAGCATGCGTTAACTCTGTAGAGAAGTCTGTAACATACTCTCTCCTCTCAGCCATGTGCCTGTACTTCCTGTTTTCACATCTTTCCCCTTTGCAGTAGCTGCATTTCAACAATGAATTTAATATTTCTCAACTGCCACACAAAAAAGTTGGTATATTTGCATGGTTTGGTGTTGTTAGGTTACTTTCAGGTCCTTTCCTCAAAGAAATATTTCAGACATCCAGAATTATTGGTAGGGGAAAATGGGTAGGCGTTTTGTTGAGTCCCTTCTGTTCCTCTGGCTGTGGTACTTGGTGTTTTCTGGCATGTCTTTACAAGGAAGACCAGGCAAAGTAAAAGATGTGAAAGGTTAAACTAGACAATGGCTTACAGTGTCTAAATTATTTGTCCAGAGCCTTCCTATCCATCAGAAAATTGGCTGTTGGCCTTTTATAATGTACATTAGACCATCTAATTTAGGAAGACAGCCTGCTTTTGTAGTCAAAAGGGAATCATTTAGTTATCTTCAGAGATGAAATAGCTGCTGAGCCTAGACCTGAAGACTCTGTTTTCTGTGACAGACAAACATGATGAAGTAACAAGGGAAGTACTTGGCACATTTGAATTCATTATATGTTCAAGAGATAATCTGACTGCGGTACTTCTGTTTTCAGCCTCCTAATGGTTTTAGATGACTCGTGACTTGGATGGGGCTGGGATATCAGTGGTGTGAATTTCAAACTGAAAGTGCACCTCTCAAGCTTGGGTAAATACATGGACTGGACACTGCGAGCATACCCCTCTCCTGTTCTCGTCTCCTCATGCTCTGAGCTAATTGCATCTTGTCTCTTGGCTGAGAAGAGACTCTCTGGGGGTGGCAGTTTTGTATTTCTACATTTCAAAGTATAAAGTTCCAAGCATTACATTACCCTGACGTAGTATCTCAGATTAATCAATATAATATACCTCATCATTGCCATCTCTTCAGCAGTTTCAGCTTGTAATGAATGTACTAGAATGCCTGCATTCGGCTACGTGATCATTTCCCTCTTTGTAGGTAGGGATAAAGTAAGGAAAAACTAAATATATGTAGTTTA